TATAAACATATAATATACACTCTCAATTAGATCATCTGAAGACGAATTCATAGAGACCAAACATGGTATATGTAAGGTTACATGAATGAGTGGTTCTGTCATAAGCATGCATAAAACAGTATACAATACAAAAGACAATATACAAGAACAGTAACAACATACACAATGACCTGAAGTATATGTGTGTTCATTCAAAGAAAGGTTTTCCTATGAATTAATTAGAGAAGAGTCCATTTTTATGGGCATTATGTGTCTGTTTTAGAGAGACTTGAGTAAGAGTTGATTCTCTCTACATACTTTTAGGTCGTAAAAGTTTATCTGATCTGGCTGAGGGGTCCAGGTTGCCATGGTAACCAGGGGCCTGGGGTCGTTCCCAGACATGCTGGCACCCAGTATGTTTATTGGGTGAGGGGTCTGTGATTATTTGTTAATCTAATGAATAATTGATTTGTTAAATCTAATGAACAAATGTGTGTCTGATTGGTCCAAATGCTACATCATATTTAAAATTGCCTAACCATTGCTGTCCATGTATTTTTATTTATTTTTAAAAAAATTTATCTAAGTGGTACGTCTTTAAAAAATTATTTGCGACGTTACATTATTCCAAAGATTAAAGGTACACTATGTAACTTTTGATGCTCTAGTGGTTAATAAACAAAACTGCATGTGTCTTGCAGAAGAATATCGTAGCTGGACCTACTTCGCTCTGTTTATGTATATGACTAGTCACACATGATTATCAAGTAGCTATATAATTAGGCTAATGGGAAACTAAAAATATGAAGGAAATTTTACAACCCAGGCTGTCATGGTGACTGAGACCAATTATTTCCAGCACAACCTCTGACTGTTATTCGGTCGAGACCCTCAGCATCATTATCGATCGAGATAACGTTCGCATCTCGTGTGGATTTTTTCTGCAGTCACAAACAATGATTAAAACAAAGTCTGCAAGTGAATGAAGTGACAACCCTTATTCACAAATTGATTCTCATTCCAATGTCATCTTCTTATTCCCTTGTCCTCTTAATATGTTCCACATCCAAATCGATTTCCAGAGGGAGTACTATAGTACGGGTGTTATAGCTACATCAGAGCCGAGAGAAATCAACGTACGTAGCGGGATCAATATCAGACCTTGATTATATATCACAGAATGACTAGGGTTGGATTCAAATGCTGGTCACACGACCTAAAAGCTCTTGCTCGCTGCCTCAAATAATGCTTGCTGCTGGCAGAGTGGCCTGCCGCTGTGTTTATTCCTGAGCTTTCAGGCTGAGTGTTTAAGCATGACAGCCGATGTGCGATACATTCAATTAACTGGGACTAAGTGAAACATTACTCACCTCCTTTTCACCTTTTAGAGAGGATTTTTCACGAGCATCTCCTTAAATGTAGCAAACAGAGTTTTAATGTTGCGAAATGTTTGAATGCCTGTCCCTAGAGATATTTAACACCACTATTACATTTCTGAACCGCTGTAAGCAAACACGTCAGTGTTCAACATGGCCAGCAGACTCCAGTTTAGCTTTCAGGTTACATGGCTACATGCCAAATAAATAAATAAATATGTATACAGTAAATATTGATTTGAGTTCAAATAATTTATCCCATAGCTTCCTCTAAGACAAAAATAGTACATTACAATCAGCCTAGCAACAAGACAAACATTATTACAGTAACATTAATACTAAAATCCACTGAGGTTATATTCAGTACAAACAATAACTGAGGCAAAATTATGGAAGTTCCGGAAGTATTTTTCCCATACAGATTTTTTTTTTTTTTAATGCCTCACAAGCCATGCACCAAACCAACCAGCTATAATGAATTACAGCATTGCAAATTTTGATTTGAAGGAAAGATCTATTTGAAAATTGGACAAAAATTCAAAGGTTCAAGACTCTGTAATTAATGGATTTAAAAAGGGAAAGATCTACAATCCCATGAAGCTTTGCGAACCATGTGGACTTAAAATCAGTGGATATCTATCAAAATTTGGTGTTGCATATTTGTTTGAGTGTTTCTTTTGGCACAATTTGCTTGTTGCAGTTCTCTGATTGGTGGAGATTTCTCTGTAGAATCATAAGTAATCTAGTTTTTCCAGGAATTCAGGTTAAACACTTATCATTTAAAAATAAGTTTTGAGTTCTGATTTATTTATAAAGCACATTTAAAAGCAACCTTGGTCGACCAGTGTGCTGTACTTGAGTAATATACAAATGCAGTTACGAAAGGTTAAAAGAGCAAGAGAAAAGATGATTTTTAACATGGATTTGAAATCAGAAAAATAAGTTGAAATAATGTGGGCTGATGGCCTTCAACATAAGCATATACCATTGATTAACCTTGTAGCTCACAATACAGTAGGTCTAAAGGCTTGTAAGTTATTATTGTTAAAATCAATTATCCTATTGAAAATGAATAGGATTTTTACTTTCCAAACTGACTGTCTCACTCTAATTTAAAATATCAGACCACGGAATGCCACGACTGACCAATCAGAATCAAGTATTCCAGAGCACCCACTTCATTGCTGACCTTTAACATCTCAGAAAATTCATCACATTCCAACGTCCTTTGTTTTTATACAGAATAATTTCAAATCGAACAACTTTCCTGTCAATAAAAAAGGAATTTTCACTAAAATACCTTCCAGTTCAAAACATTTTTGCTAAGTTCTTGAAATTGCACATTGCATTCGTCATTCAGCATGACAACAGTGGCCAACTAGCTGTCTAAATATATTTTTGATTGTTTAATATTGTTTAATAAAGTGCTGTGTATTCCTTGTTAATTCCCCGTCTTGCCCCCGGCTGGCATAAAAACCATTTCTGTTTTGTAACATGTAATCCACTTTGATTATTATTATGATTAAATGCTGCAGTTATAATTTAAACTCTTCCCATGGACCTTATTAGAATATTAATCCTAGATGTGCACTGCATAATAAGCAGCCTTTGACATCTCATGAATTTTAAGGCATAAGTGGTCAGTGATTTGGCCGGGGAAAGGGAGAGATGTGCATAAGATACACTGCCATATATCACCTATTAATTAGAGAATTAGCATTAATGCCCGCAGCTCCGAGTCAAGTACGCTTAGTCCTTGTATCTAAGCTATCATGGAACCAAATCTGGGCTCTCTAATGACATATAATACCTTGTTTTTTTCCCATTTTGCCTGAATTCTGGTGCTATCCAGGTTAATATGCAAATCTAATGCAGATTTCTATGCCCATGACCGTCCTTGCCATATGTACAGCAGCTTAAATCACCTACATAACTGCATATATTTAAGTGCTAGAGAGAAAGATTTACATTTAAGGGACTCTTATCCAATACTCTAGCATTTGACACCAACAACAAGCCACAGATGCAACAGTTACCACTTGGGGGAGCCCAAGACCTTTTTCTCTCTTCTCCTCCCTGTATGAATCTCCCCATCACTCCATCCCTCATGCTGGACGACTCTCACAGCTGGCCTCTCCCTTGCAATATTAATGCCCTGTCTTCTTTGTTTTGAAACTTTAGTCCAGATCAGATATGCACCATGTTGATTGCCTGCCTGGAGGATCGGCTTTGATTCTGCCAGGTTCACAGACTCAAGGCAATCATTTACACCCTGAGTTATTAGACAGAACACTTTCTCTGATTTCGTGTGGCTCTGAGGATCTAATGAATTCAAAAGTAAGCTTCGGCAGGAGCTGACGTAGGTCTTGTCTGATTAAAAAAAAATATGTGTGTTGTCAGAGAAGGGCAAAGAGGAAGGGAGGGCTGCGTGGTACACGGTTGCGGATACTGGAAATGCTGGCTAACATTGCTAGGGGTTTTACTGGTGACTAGAATTCAGACGGGCGCTAGATGAACAGTCCTTGACCTCCTAAAATGTATTTTTATAGGTCACTTCCTCAGGTCAGGGCGTAAATATGATTATAGTACCTCCCTGAAAAGAAATACATTGGTTGGATCTTTCACCTCATTATGAGGCAAATTGCCTCGCATTTCGAGGCAGAAAGAAATAGAGGGAGATGATATCAGAAGACAGAAACGGAAAGAGAGAGAGAGCTTCCCTGAGTGGAAGCATGTGGGGTTTTATCTCATGATTTATCTCAGTGTTGAAAGGCAATTATACATGTGACACTGGCTCAGAGGAAGTGTGCACTTTAATTTGTGTGAAACAGTCATGCCATTATGTGTTCATGTCAGATGTATAAATCACAGTCTGCATATATTGGCTGAGTTCAGAAGCACAGACGTTTTTTTTAGGTACACAGACAAGAATCAATCCTTATTGGCGATTCAGCTCTCAAAGTGATTTGTCTACAGTCTTACATTTAACTTCCACACTCACAAGTGGTACAAACAACTGACATGAAAGCTGGAAAATGCTCACGGATATTCTACATGAAGACAAACACAGAGCGCTACTTATGCAGGTTTAGTGTTACAGCTATGCCAACATTCTACAGAATCTGCACCGCTTTAGCTAAAACCCCGGGTTAAGGATCACAAACAGAGACAGTGGTGCATGAAAGCAATTTCCCTTCGTCGGCTGTGATATGTTTTATGTCAAGGATCAAACAAGCACGCAGACCTCTAAACACATGTGCACACCTCCTTGTAAAAAGCGACGGGGTGATTAATAAAGTATTACGCATAGAGATAGAGGGAGGATTTTTGAAACTTCAGCTGCAGTCATGACTCCTGTGGGTGATAAAGTTTAACTAGACTAGACACTGTGTTTACATATAAATAAATACTTTATTAAATATATATATATATTTATATATATATATATATATACAGTATAAAATAACTACAGCATAATGATGCATGCATGTCTAAGCAGATAGATAGATAGATAGATAGATTACAAATGTCTAAATAAAAGAGCTGATGACTGGCATTTCATGTAAGATTATATGATCTGGCAAGTCTGTGGCATTATGACAGAGGGCAAAATGCATTCAAATCTATTACATTAAAAATCCAATCCATTATGAGGTTGTTGAGGTTGTTACCATGGAAAAATGCAATTCCATGCAGAAGGAAGCATTCCAAAGTATTTCGATTTCGATTTGAATTTCGCCTCTTGTCAGTTCCACAGCAACAATTTCAAACTAGTAATAAAATTGCAACACTCTTTCCATGCTATTTAGATTAGCTTGCGTTATCTGAAGAGTAAGAAGCATAAGGCTCTTACCTTAACAAAACAGACTCCTGTGCTCTTCTGAGAGCATGTCATCCTCATGGAAGTACGACGCTGGCTTCTTTACTCGCCTCTTGGCAGCGCTCAGATTCCAAGACTGACTACAGTTGTGTGTGAGACTCCAGCTGCCTCTCTCTCTCTCCCTCCCTCGCTCACACATAAAGCCCTCTCTCTCTCCTGCTCTATCCTTTCTTTTTTGCTCTGCTGGACAAGGATGCAGTTTGCAGAGGGGAGCAGGCTCTGATTGGTTGCCATTCATAAGATTGTGATTGGGGATGGAGTTGACTGGGAGGAGGGAGCGAGGGGAGAGAGACCAGTGTTGGCTACAGACCAGGGCATTGAAATAAGGACAGTGGGTTTAACACAGCAGACATGATGACTTTCAAGAATTAAATCTTGGAATAAAAACATTGGTAAAGGCCAGGAACCCGAGGCATGTCCGTGACACGCTTAAAACGGCAAATCCTAAATCAGCCTAACAAAGGTTTTTGTAGGGCCGGTTGTTTTCATCGCACACATAAGCGCAAATATAACTGTCAGATTTTTGTGCTGAACACATAAATCAGATCACTCAGTGGAGCTGGCAGTCTTTCTCAACAAAAGGAGGAGTTCCATGCAGCAAAGAACACAGAGCGAGTAATACATTCAGAGAAAATAAAAATAAACAAAGAATATCTCAATATCTAAATACAAATTAGGGATTTTGGAAAATGAAAATCTTATATTTCACATACAAGACTTCTGTTGTATGTTCAGATTGTGAAAAATTATCATTTAAAACTGATTTATAAACCAAATTATGTTTTGGTGCCAAAATGTTGGACCTCAGGGGGAAACAATGTAATGCATGATATGACTCATTTGATATTTAGTGAAATAATTTATATATTTTTTTTCCTAACACAACAACAATGGGGGTAATATATAATATAGAGGTAATATCAGTAAATATCTTAACTTCCATTCAGCTCTGTAAGTTTCACTCACTTTCGTATAACAAAATTGCATATAATTCTATATAATTCCATAATTCCACGTATACTATAGTTTGAGGTCAGTAGGATGTTAAGATTATTTATTTATTAAAAATAAATGAAAACTTTTGTTCAACAAGGATACATTAAACTCATCAAATGTGACAATAAAGAAATGTATAATGTTGCAAAATATTTTTAGCCAAATGAATGCTGTTTTTTTTTAGAACTTTTTATTAATTAAGATGGAAGTCTGAAATAAACTATATTTTAAAATAGAAAGCAGTCATTTTAAATTTTAATAATATTTCACAATATTAATGTTTTATTGTGTTTTTAATCCAATAAATGCAACCTTAAAACATATAGACTTTCAAACACAATAAAACATCTCACCAACCCCAGACTTTTAAATGGTATACAGTCAAACAATACATGTACTATACACAGTGTAGAAAATTACCATGTAAAACATGTATTTGTACAGTAGGTATGGTATTTTGGTTGCAAAGCCAGATAATTTAAGCCAAATATTATTTAAGAAAAAAGCAAACAAACAAAAAAATTAGCCTGTAGCATTATGCAAATCCCAGGGAATGTATACTATGATGGGACTGTAAGTTGCTTTGGATAAAATATATGTATGCATAAATGTAAAATGTAAACTAAATATGTGTGCAATGATATAATTTTAAATGTAACAAAGCTGTACATTTCTAGCCTAAAATCTATGAGGATAATAGCATATTGTGGTGATATGAAAGATCTGAATGCAAAATTGAAAAGAAATGTTGCATCAAATCATGTGTCTATGTAGATGTTCTCCAACTACATACAGTGTAATTCATACAGAACCACACATTTCACTCTCTTTGTATGACAAAACCGGTTAAATTTCACATACAAGTCCTCTATTGTATGTATAGCATGCAGTTTCAGGATAAGTGTCACCGTGGATAAGTGCTGGAGATGAGAGCGCATTGAATAGATTCTGACTCTCTCTGAGCTAGAAAGAGCCAAGGTGGGGATGGCAAATACTTTTCATTTGAGCCTCGCTTTGATGTGCTATATGAGGTGGATCAAAGACCACACTGATGTGCCTATAGATGTTGGGAGAAATTCCAGTCAATGTATTGCAAAAAGAATAAACAAATAAGTTTTGTAATGTGCCACATGAGCTAAGAAGAATGTTTGTTTTGACTTTTTTTTCTAAGACATCATGTTCGAAATATATAACAGTTTGCATTTTCAGTTGAGCTAATATATGTGTATGAATCAGTTTTAGTGGTTAGTTTAATTTGATCTCAATTTTTACAATAACTTATGTTTTTGTGTTACTCTGCGCAGTTTGCAATTATAAGAATACTTGTGCGCTTTTGAGGGCAGACAAACTACAGTGTAACTGATTTAATATCTGATTCAAAAGGAACCTTGCTTCATCTTTGATTGAACATTGATTGAACCTTACCCAAGTACCATATCAATTCAATAGATCCCTTAACAACAGTATTTGATCCTATGCCTTTAATATGCCAGTTGTAGTCTCAAGGCCATGATACAATTATTGCCTTGCAGTTGAAGAAAAAAATGTGGAAACCACTTTTTTAAGGATTTTTTTTTTGATGAATAGAAGATCAATAGATTAAAGAACAATAAAAGTGTTGATTTTCATTTTTTATTCTTTTGCATCCTTGAAGAAGCATTACTTTCTTTCAAAATAATATCAAATAAAATAAAATAATCCCAAATGGTAGTGTACTGTATACATAGCTTATGTTTTGTAAAATCCCTGATCATTTCAGTCCACCCACTACAGTTGTTGTTGCATATTTGAGCATGTATTGCATCGCGGACCTGCCACAATGTACTAAAAGTATGGAGCACTGCCAGCAACTGTTTTGGTCCCAACAGTAAACCTGCAATCCATGAATAAGTGTTGTTACTCATTTCAGATGTGAAGAGGGTGATGCATGAGACTCTTAAACGTACCTTAGGAAAAAAATGGCCTCTTGAGTTATGTAGTTCTAAAGGTTACAGAGAGAGTGGAATTTTGTGAATAAATGGTGGAAAAAATAAATTGTCAGGGGGAAAAAATGAAATGTTTATCAGATATTTGTGGGAAAATATGGTACTTAAAACCTGTGATGCCTTCCAAGTGATACACACTTTCAAATGTGTCTCATACATCTGCTTAATGGGTGCCAGGTATCATTTTTTTTAATGAATTACAAAAAAGGTACATTTAAAAAAGTAAACTTACTTAACTTTGTATTTATTGGATATATATTCAATATATTTTCTGAAACGTCTCTGTATTTACCTATTCACATATCGTTGCAGAAAGCCTTGCCTGTTTAAGTCAGCTCAAAGCCACAAGTGTACAACTGTCTCCTCTTACAGAAACTCCAGTTCATATTTATTTTCAGTGCAGTCTGAAATTGAAATCGCTTTCATTAGTTGTTAGGACAGCATTGCAACTGAGATTCTAGAAACCTCTAAAGATCTGATTGTCCTGGATGTCAATAATCATTAGTTTTAAATATATTTTGAAGAAGATTGGTGCATTGTTGGGGAAGCTACTTTTTAAACATGTAGCTTTATATCTAAATAGACATTTATCTAAATTGATAACTTAAAGGGATAGTTCACCAAAAATGAAAATGTTGTCCTCATTTACATAAACCTGTATGAGTTTCTTTCTTATGTTGAATGTAAAAGAAGATATTTTGAAGAATGCTGGTAATCAAAAAGTTGATGGTCCCCAATGACTTCCATAGTATTTCTTTCCCTATTATTTCCCCCAGTATTCCCTAGTATTTCTATATTCCTTTGTGTTCAACATAAGAAAGAAACTTATACAGGTTTGTAACGACATGAGGGTCAGTAAATGATGACAACATTTTCATTTTTGGATGAACTGTTCTTTTAAAGACCCAAGATGCCACACAGAAACTCAAATCAGTGAATTGGTTCAAGTTTCATAAACTGTTCAGATGAATCGGTTCTCTTGATTGAATCAGACTTAAGGAGAACTGGTTTGGAAGAAAAAAAAATTACTTGTCACAAAGAACATTTTTAATAATCTAAAGAACCTTTTTTCCACTATAAACAACCATTTGTACTGAAAGGTACCATGGATGTTAAAGGTTCTTCATGGAAGCATAGATGCCAATAAAGAACTTTTATTTTTAAAAGTACTGGAAAGGCATTATTTTAAAAACAACTGAACTACTGTAATGCTACTGGACAAGGTTAAGTTTTAGTTAAGTATTTTCAGTTAGGCTAGTTAATTCTTAACACTGGTTTGATGTAACTAGCTCATTTTCTCTTGGAAGTGCTGTCACAACAGAAACATGCTAGATGCTACCAAGAACTGGCGACAGATGGATGGTGAATGAAATGTTAATGGATTCAAACTCCTTACCCCATGTCTGGGCACCATTACAGAGATAGCAAAGTGAAAACATCAACTGCAAAAATGATTGAATGTCACAGTTAAAAGTCAAAGTAAAGACAAAATGTGTAGAGAAAACAAAAGCTACATAATAACTATATTCCTTCTTATTTTGGCGCTTGGCATATTGCATCAATGCATGTGTTATTTCATACAACGCCTCCTCCTTTTCCTCCTGACAGTACCACGCCTCCACCTCCTTGTCTTTCTCCCTGCGTGCCTTCCCTTACATTACTCTTGGCCAGTATTCCTGCCAAGACTAATGATTGCACATGGACAGTTTTTTTCACACCCATGGACCTGTTAGCATTTCTAGCCAATGCATAAATATTCAGTACTTTCATCATATGAGCATTCTAAGTCATGCTTCTTGCACCTTTTGTAGTGTTTTGCAATCCCATTGTATCCACATCAATATTGTAAGCAAACTCACAAACAGCTTCACTAACACTTTGTGACAAATGCACTAAATTATAGGGCGCTGAAGACTAATTTCATGGACTGAATTAATTAATCATTACACTTTAATGCGTTTCGAACACAGAAAGAAAAAGGCAGTTGCATTTTGTCAGCAGAAATGTGAAGTCAGTGCTTCATTTTGTGCATAAATCTCATTTTGTACATGAAATTCCTTTCATTTCATGCACATAAAGG